AAATTATAGATGTTAATTCTTATAATTATACTTCAAATAACTAAAATACTCAGGAAATTAGAGTGTTCTAGTTAACATGTAGCTGAACATTCTGGTCACTCATTTGAAAAACCCTTTTAAATATATTATTATACATTATTCCCATGGTAAATACATACCTTGGATTTTATTTGATGCCTAAGGACTTCAGCTTTCTGAGTATCAGTTTTTGCTGCATAAGACGTGGGCTTGAAAGAATAATCTATGTTCTGCCTTGAACTCATTGTTTACTTTCTGTTGGCGATATTTCATAGTTGATAAAGGCATGTTTATTTTAACCAAAAGTAGATCTCTAATTACAAGTTGTATTCTAAAAGCTTATATATTCCTAAATCATTTGAATCATTTGAAATGTTTCTCTACCAAAAAAAAAAAAAAAAAAAAAAAAAATATATATATATATATATATATATATATATCTCACAATTAAGTTCTTTAGCTTGAAAAGCCCTAATACAAGTGAAATACATTTGCTATGAGTTAGAAGTCACAGGGATATTTTGCAATGAAATTGATCAAACCCAATCTGAATATAAAACTATTTTCATTTACCTTCATTTGGTATCTGAGAAAAAAAGTTAACTGGAGGAAGATGAGAAGCGATAGATAAAAATTTCTATAAATAAGGATGCCTGGTGACTCAGCCGGTTAGGCATCTGCCTTCCACTCAGGTCATGATCCCAGGGTCCTGGGATCAAGTCCTACACTGGGCTCCTTGCTCAGTGGGGAGACTGTTTCTCCCTCTGCCTACCGCTCTCCCTGCTTGTGCTGTCGCTCTTTCTCTCTGACAAATAAATTCTTAAAAAAAAAAAAATTCCGTAACTATTTTAAATGGGTCAATGGTCCTCAGTTCTTGATTATACAGAACACACAAGGTCTCTCAACACAGCCATTAGAGATTCTCTTCAGAGTCATGAATAGGATATAATGGAGACAGGAGACAGCAAAACTGTTGTCCAGAGTGAAATGAACAAGCGGAATGCAAGGGAATAAAGACAGTGTTGAAAGGATGCCTGTGCATCCGTGGAGCGGACACTGCGGAGGTACCAATGTCGAAAGAGAAAGAGACCAGCATGGGACTCAGAGCAGAAAGGAAGTAACTGAAAGCAATGCTGAAGGAAACAGTACCCCGCAAAAGCCACGAAGACTGAATGTGGGGTATGAGAGCAAAGTCACCAACACAGAAGGGGCCTCCGTGCAAGTGAGGCAGACTCTCATTTGCACCCGCAGGATGACCTAACCTGGGCGAGCTGGATGGCCATATTGGAGCTGTCTGTACCTGAGAGCATGGCGGGTGGGCAGATCCCGTTTCTGAACCCACGTGATCACAGAGGCTGTGTCTGGCCTGTCCTAAGGCATGCTGGCCTTGGCTGGAAGCTTTTATTTAGAGCTCCTTCACTGCCTCTTCGATCTCCCAAGGCCCTAATGAAATGCTATCCCAGTTTTGATGTTACTCCTGAATGGCTACCTAAGTGCCGTATGGATTAGCGCACCTATATTTAGATTCCTGACTTTCAACTGGCCATATGGTCTGTCATTGTATAGTCAGTCTTCCCATCTGGCCCTTTTCCAAGGCGAAGTGTCCCTTGGTCTGAGTAAAAACGCAGTGCATTCATTCATTTGACCAAAAGGCGACACTGAGTATCAGATGCTGTCTGAGGCCCCGCGCTGAACACAATCATCTTGCTTGCCTCCTAGAAACGTTTGATTCATTTTCTCACAACATGTGAAACAAATACCAAAAGGGTCAAGTGGGAGACTTCTCTGGGCTCTAAGATGCTCTGGTCATTTTGAAATATGTTAAACAATGGTTGGATGGATATTACATTTCAACAATGCAAGAGCAATGCCGATTCCTAGTCCCATTAAGAGCAAAGAATTAGGGGCACCTTGTGGCTCACTGAGTTAAGCAAGTATCTGAACTCTGATTTCCACTCAAGTCCTGATCTCAGAGTTGTGAGATCGAGTCCCACATCGGACTCTGCATGAGATTCTCTCCTATCCTCTCTCTCTGCCCCTCCCACCGCTCAGGCTCTCTAAATGGATAGATAGATAGATAGATAGATAGATAAAAACCTTTAAAGGGGGGGGCAGAGAATTATCTTGAATGTTCTCCATACCCTATTTTAGAGATAAGGTAATGTGTTGTAAAAAGGGGAGAAAAGCTTACCAAATTAGTAACTTTAATACGAATTAGTAACTTTAATACCGAAAACTTCTGATAAACAAGGGCGACCTCTGCCACTTAACAAAGAACTCTTTCACTGAAAAGATGAAAATCTTTAACCACCACCACCACAAAGCCCTTTACACACAGGTGGACCCGTATTCATAAACACCGCAGAAGGTCACAAATACAAAATAACACTGTAGAAGGACACACTCACTGGTCAATGGAAAAAGGTACTGCACTGGGGCTGAGAATTTGCTGTCCTCCAAAATGATACCAGAGAATAAGGACTATTTCAAATAAATCTTCAAGTCTGACCTCAGTGGAAGTCAAAATTTCAGTTCAAAATTTAATTTGGAACTAAGGAAAGGCATCCGGTATTTACCACATCTGCTGGCGCATCTCCAGAGTAATACTTCTACTTGCCCTCTGAGTTTTCCACAGTCTGGCTTGGTACCTGGGCAGAAGCATTTCCAGGGCCCAGGGCCAAAAGCCACTAGAGCCTGCAGTTCTTTCCCTGGACTCAAACACCGTCCCAAAGAGAAGCAAGAGTAGAACAGGACTTTCCCCTCTTCATCCACTCTCACATTACGGCATCATTTAAGAGACCTGAAATAATCTTCAGAAAAATGCCAAGCTGCCACTGATTCTCTCTGGAGGGCAACTCATGTACTTATCCTGCTAGACAGAAACTGTTTGGCTGAGGACCAGATCAGTGGATGGCCTCTAGTAATCTCAACCCTGGTTGCAATCAGTCAATCCATTTCTTCAGCTTTAAGAAAACTGTGTGGATGTTTAACTTGAAAAAAGGAATCCCATAATTGCAGGTCCTTTCTAGAAGATTTGTCCCAGAACTCTCTGATGTCAGTTGTCAAACTCCTTCTGGAGACTTTTCCCTTTAAAAGTGCATCATTTGAGGGTGGAGGGGGAGCGGAGAGGCAGGGTATTGAAGTAGGGAGGAAAAAGAAGGATGGGTAAAAGGTTCCACATTCACTTGAGTTACTAATTAAGATTTCAAAAACATTGCCATGAGTTTAGGTGTATATTTAATGTCCCACAGTATTTCATCGAAGACATAAGGTAAGAATTCTTTGATGATTCGTGTTACAACAAAGACCCCACCTATGGGATAAGAAACATTCATGACGTCGACTGTGAAAGGAAGACCTCAGACACTTCCATGTCCAGTACCCTGGTTACATCATGAGAGCACAATGGAATGCTGTTTGGCCAGCTGATGGTGCATGTCAAAGACTGAGATGCACATTTTAAAGGTAGACCTTTGCTGATACCTATTATGGAGCTACAAGGAAATGAGTAGATAAAGTTTAAAAACTGAATATAGCAATTGGTAATTCAGCAAACTTCCAAGGCTATAGGCATTTAGAAATGATTTCACATTAAAACTGCACACAGATTCACTGTACAATTATTGAACATCTGGTAGTGTGCTAAACACCTGAAAATATGGATACTGAATAGTTTTAGTGATCACGTTATAGAAGCGAAGGTTGACCATTAACACAAACAGAAAAGGTGACTCAAAAGACCAAAAGTAAGTTCTCATCCTAATGCAAAAATATATGTTGAGATACAAACATTATGTGATTTGTGACTCTTTGAATCTTAGGCTTAAGTTTTAATTACTGAGCATATGATACCATCTCTTTAGTCTAGGAATGTTGGTTCCTCAAAGTATTATAACATCTCCATGATACCTAAAATACAGTCAAAATGGAAATGCTTATGAAAGGAAAGTAGATTTCAAATATCAGAAAAGATATTCTCTACACAGCATTGTTCAATCATAAGGTAAGTGATATTACTCCCACATAATGCAATAAAAATGATTATGTCTCCCTGTAACTTTGAATTTACTTCCCCACAAACATCGTTCCCATTGGATCTTCATAATAATCCTATGCAATGGGCAATGGAGGTGATGTCCTCATTTTAACAAATAAGAAATTGAGGTCTGGGAGAGCTATACAAGGCCTCAGCATTTACTGACCAAACCAAGAACCCAAGCTCTGACTGTCAGCACAGAATTTCCTACCATAGGAATGAACCCCACCCCCCGCCCGCCACATTTCATCAAATTTACCTTGGATCCTGCAACTGTCATACTAGCAGAGGAATAATGGCTACTTTTGTTAGCATGAAAACCCGTGTAACCTACTGTTAAAAGAGTGGACAAAGAATCGTCAGCGTTTCTTCACATTCGCATAACATGAATATTGATGGGATTTCTGTAAAGCTGCAAGGAAATTCCTAAGCAGAGCCAAAAGAAAAGGCATTTCCTAAAGTTCCTGATAAAACTTAAAGAACCCTGTTAAATCTTTTCAACTGAAATCAGTTAATGCAAAGAAAGTCATCAACATTACCCCCCGAGTTGCCCCCCAAAAAAAGATTAAAAAGGGGAAAAAAAATGTTGGTCTTGCCTAAGACCAACAACTTTCAGGCTGGTCATTTTTCCCTTCTAAAAACTTCGTACTCTGCTGGGGGACGAGAGGTTATTTCTAAAGATGGCCATTTTCACAGCCTGGATTCCTAAACGGGGCCCTCAGAAGCATCCGTGGCACACGTGAGCGTGAACGGCTCCCCGGGGGGCCAAGAGCAGGAACGCAGCAGCGAGCAGGGCTGCGAGCCCCAAGGCGAGCGCGTGCAGGCGAAGAGGAGCGGCCGCAGCGCTGCCTCTCTCCGAGTCCCCGGTGCTGACCGCGCTCGGGGCGCAGGAGCCGGGCGCCGCCCTCCCCGCCCTCCCGGGCGCCGGGCCGGGCCGCGGACCTACCAGCGAGAGCACCTTATAGGTGTTGGGGTCTTTGGCCGTGCGGGCGCTCGCCGCCTTCTCCAGCGGCTCCTCCCCCAGGTCCATGGGGGCCAGCAAGGACTCAGACGCCTGGCCGTCCCCGGGCGCCGCGGCGGCGCGACCGACGATCGGGTCGCGGCCGTTCCCCGCCGGGCCCTCCCGGGGAGGGCGGCCGCCCTCGCCGCCGCTGCTCCCGCCCCCCGTGCTGCCGCCGCGCTCCATCGTGGCCCCCGGCGCTCCAGCCCCGCCGCCCCGCCGCGCCTTTAATAGGCTCCGCGCCGGCCCCGCCCCGCCCGCCGCCGCGCCCGCCCCTCGCCGCCCGACCCCTGGCCCGGCGCCCGCCGCCCAGCGCTAGAAGTGAGGAGAAAGCAGCTCAACGCCCCGGATTATTTGGCTTCCTGTCTGATTTCGGGCACTCTGCGTGTCGGTTATTTTGGGTCCTTTACGTGGGCGCGTCTTTAACTTCCCCCAAAGCCTTCCCCTCCCCGCGCCCCGGGGCACCTTCCGAACACTTGCAGGAATCGCCCTGCGTGGCCTCGCGGCGCGGGCAGGGCTGGAATTGCAGAGTGTGGTCTGCAGAGGGCATGAGATCATGGGGCCCCAAAATAGAGCGGGAGGCGGAGGAGAAGGATGCAGCAGCGGCCGGTGCGGCTTCTCGGCGGCGCGAGAGCGGAGTCGGGCGACCCGTGTCTGTGCTGCGACGCGCAGAGAGGCTGGAAGGGTCGGGGGTGGGACGAGGCGACCTTTTCCTCCTGCGTAGAAGCAAGCGAAAATTCCCTCAAAGTCCTGCTACCCACTGCTCCGCCACTCTGGGAAAGGAATAACCCACCTTAAAATACCTGGTGTAACTAAAGCACTCATACATCAGGGATACTCGGTTTTCCGCGGGTTTATGTGGTTTCTGGGTTTTTCTTGCTGATCTTGCCTTCATATATTTACTTATTAGTTCCTTTAGTCTTTTCATGGTGAAGGCTTCAAAGTGTCAATGCTGCCTCATCCTGAGGTTGACGCTGATCCTTGGTTAGGAGTATTGAACATTTTATACTTTGATACTTTATTTTTAAACGAGGACACGAACGGTAAACTACAATTCTTGATGGGTTTTGATTCACCTTTGATTCTACAACTTTCAATTTTCCTTCCTCATCAGAAAAACCACAAGTGTGTAGTGAAGTGATTCTTGTCAGTCAAGAGCCAACCAGTGACTTTCAACTGTTTTGCGATGCCAGGGACCGACTGTGGGACCAAAGAAAGTTATACATTCCAAAGACAATCGTCAATTCATTTTGAGTGCCCAAATGTATACAAACATTCTTTTTTTAAAAAATGAGAATAGAGGGGTGCCTGGGTGGCTCAGGATTTAAGCATCTGCCTTGGGCTCAGGTCATGATCCCAGGGTCCTGGGGTCCAGCCCCATATCGGGCTCCCTCCTTGCTGGGAAGCATGCTTCTTCCTCTCCCACTCCCCTTGCTTGTGTTCCCTCTCTCGCTGTCTCTCTCTCTCTCTCTCTCTCTCTCTGTCAAATAAATAAAATCTTAAAAAAAAAAAAAACCTGAGGATGGATATTTAACAGATATAAAGTGTGTTTTACTCCCTTTAAAATAGTCAAATTTAAGATGCTTTCTATTTATACTGACTCATTCATTCATTCATTCATTCACTCAATAATGAATCTTTCAATTCACTCTTTGGCTTCCAACTATGTATACCATACCAACATGAATAAAAGTACATATTTCTCAAGTAGTTGAAGGGGGTGATGACAATAAACAGCATCAACAAAAAATTAAAACGCAAGTCCTAGATGCATAATAGAGTTACAAATAAGATATTTTCAAAGTTTAGTGAAAAGGTTATTGACATCTGGAAGAAATAAAAGCCATCCCTCAAAACATGACTGAGCTCTTTTTTCTTTCTTTCTTTTCTTTTTTTTTTTTTTTAATTACCTTGAGTCAACTTACAAACCACCCAAGAGAAACAGGTTTTCACTATTTCATAGTCACATATTTTTTACCCCAAACTTGGCTCCAAGTTTTCCTTTAAGTGTTTCCAAAAATCTGATTCAAGGACAAAGATTTGTGCCACAGAGACTGGTCAAATGAGTGTCAAAACTTCTAAAAGAAAGTCAACAGAAACTTCCAGCGTGGCTTTGAACCTGACAAAACAAATGGAATCTGTATATTGATCATAGACATCCCAAGGCAAGGAGGAAATCACTCTCCAGGCTTCCCCCTGTGGGAAAAGAGAGCACACAGAGTCAGTCTGCAGAGGCACAAACTCAACTTCCATCAATGAGTGGGGTGCCCCCTGCAGGTGACCCATGGGCTCTTGTGACAAGTGTGAAGGTTCACATAGGATCCTGTCCCTGCCCCTTGTAGTCAGATAGATTTCTCAAGAGAAACAGGAAATTTTAGATGTTTGTGTGAATTCTCCAGATCGCAAAATTTTTGTCTACAAAATTCAGAAAAACAATTTCTTTAAACACGTGAAAGGCCAAACAAAATGTAACACATCTGCAGGGTGGGCCTGGCAAACAGGCCACCAGGATGTGGCCTCTGCCTTACACTCTGGCCTGGCTGGGGCTTGTCAGGACTTCCATGGGTAACTATAAAAGTCTCACTGAAATTTTAAAATCAGAGGACTATGAATGGATCGCTTGAGTAGGCCACTTATCTGGCTTCGCTACAGACATCGCCAGGCCTGTAGAGACATCTTTTTGCCTTGATCTTGTTTCTACTCCAAATTGTCAGGGGGACAGCTTCACCATCCAAAGTACAACAGACCTTTCATGGTTAGTGCAAGGTTAGTAATAACTGTTTCATCCTTGGTCCTAAATGACTCTGCTTCAATGATTGAAGACTGTAATCTAGTATAGCAGTAAAGAGGAAAGTCTAAGAGTTAATAAGATTCATGGGGGGCCTGGGTGGCTCAATCATAAAGCCTCTGCCTTTGGCTCAGGTCATGATCTCGGGGTCCTGGGACTGAGCCCTACATGGGGCTCCTTGCTCAGCAGGGAGCCTGCTTCCCCCACTCCCACTCCCCCAGCTTATATTCTCTCTCTTGCTGTGTCTCTTTCTGTCAAATAAGTAAAAATAAAACCTTTTTAAAGAATTTTAAATTTAAATTTTAATATTTAAATTTTAAAGAATTTATAAGATTCCTTAAGTTTTATTCTGCACAAGTATGTAACCACTTCTCCCTCAGGGCCTGAAACTTGAGACACTGATAAGACCAAAACACCAAATAAAACCAACTTATCTGTGTTTGAAGGATGACTTCTTGAAATGAGGAACAGTTCTTCTTGGCTCTGAAAAATGGAAATTATTTTAGTAATTATTTTACCAGCTGTTCTAGAGCTGGTCCAGCTTTCTCCAATTCCCAGTAAAACATGAAGCCCAGCCTTAACAGGAAAAAAACAAAACAAAACAAAAAAAACACTACATGGCCCTTTAATCTTTCTGAGATATAGAAAAAAATTATTTTCCACATGTTAATTTGTTTTTAAGATTTTGTTCGACATCCTTTCTCTTTCCTTTTTGTAAGTACAAGCATGACGCTCTCTGGGAGAAGCTTGGATAACTACGTGACCTTGTTCAGATTACAAGAACTCTCTGAGTCTTGGCTTCCTCATTGATAAAATGGTGTTACAAATAATACCATAAAATTACATAGTTTTCTCCAAATGCCAACAAGATGTGTAACATTTCCCCAACTTACACAAAAATGTAAATGTCTCCTTTCATATATAAAGATTTTTTTATTTATTTGACAGAGAGAGCAGGAGAGCATAGGCAGGGGGAGTAGTAGAGGGAGAGGGATAAGCAGGCCCCCTGCTGAGCAGGGAGCCTGATATGGGGCTTAATCCCAGGACTCTGGGATCATGATCTAAGCCAAAGGCAGTCACTTAACTGACTGGGCCACCCAGGTGCCCCTCCTTTCCATATTTCAATCACTCAACTCACATCCCTAACAGAGAGAATAAAACAATTTCATTTTCACATACACAATCCATGATTTGTACTTAATTTCTGGAAAGGTTTGAGAGCTGCCAGTAAGAATGCATCTGCAAAGGGAGAGCCTATGGGGTCAGGAAGGGATGCTTGCCCCTCTGGGATGGAGGAGAGATGGCTTGTTATCAGGCAGATAGCAAAATGAGTGAAGTGTAAAATGCAATTGAAAGTAATAAAAACTGTGGAAACATGGAAAACACATATCCCATCTAGAGGGAGCTGCTGTCCAGGCCTTCATTTTCTGGTTGTCTGCAGTCTCTGCCACTTCCCGTTGTCCCTTATATTTCATTTCCAGCAAAACCTCAGGGTGCCAATAATCTGCATGTATGTCTGGTCTCTGGGCATGTACTCTTATGTCTTCTGAAATGATGTTGGTAAATGTCTGACTTGTTTTCTTGGCTCCAACAAATCTCAGAACTTCTTTCAGCTCAGATACTTCTCAGTACAGCCACATCCTCCATCCAACCACGATCTGAGCTCTTTATATTTGACTCTCTGAATTAGGGTCATCTTATCACTAACTGTAAGGTTTACGGCGTAACTCCATTGGCTCTCAGCTCAGTACTTTCCACATCCCACAATGTATGCAGGAACTTGTGAATTGTTCCCTCTGTACAGGAAAGTCAACGAAAGCTCCAGAGTACTTCTCAGATTCTGCCTGACTGTATTAGTGAGGGGAACAATCTGTCAACAGTTCCTCCCGCAGGCTCCAACAGGAAGTAGAATAAATGCATCTGTACTTCAGGCTTTCTGCATGACCTACCTAAGGCTTACCCCCACCCAGGATTTCAGCTCACAAAAGGTAAAGCTTGAGGACATGTAATTAGCATAAACATGACTTGAATTTCAGAAGAAGATGGAGTGTGGAGTTTAGAAAAAAAACTATTTGAAGAAATAATGGAACAAAATAATTGAATAAATGGAGGCTCCTGGGTGGCTCAGTTGGTTAAACGTAGGCCTTCAGCTCAGATTATGATCCCAGAATCCTGGGATCGAGACCCACATGGGGCTTCCTGCTTGGTGGGGCCTGCTTCTCCCTCTCCCTCTGTCACTCCTCCAATGATACCACACAAAACTGAGATCTATACAAAGGCATAAGATATGTGGGAAATTATAAATATTTGGATAAATATAAGGAACTTTTTCTCATATAATCTTTTGTTAAAAAGATTTATTTATTTGCGAAGGAGCACACCCATGAGTGTTCACATG